TCAGGTCAACTGAAAAATTAAAACAATTTTGAAGGTCAGAAGATGTACAAGTAGTCATGGTCTTCACATCCGACCTGATTCAGATCCACGCATGATGTTCTAACTTGTCTTTTGGTACACTGTTAATTCTCAACGGCATGTGATTAGCTTTATTAATATTTTGTGCTAGTGGGGAAAATGAAGTATGGAAAGAATAATAACCATATAAATAAATTTGGAGATGGATAACTTGGGGACCAAGTCTTTTCCTCTCTATTAATGGATGGTTTTAGCCTTTTAGGCCAAGCTCGAACCGATTTTCAGATTCAAATATCTTATTTGGAATCTCTTGCTTTCGATTACTCATGTCTCTGCTTCTCAACCAACCTTCGATGCTCTGCCTGAGGAAGCCTTTGTTGGTTAGATCCTCTCCTCTCGGCTCTAATGGCTTCTCCTCTTCCTTGTCGCAAACCCCTCCTTGTTGCGTCCTCCGGATTTCGGAAAACTAGTCATTCAGGATATTAGTCACGAGTTGACTACCGTGGAGAAAAAGGTGGCTATGGAGTTGATGAATATTCCATCAGACTACGTTCGTTTTGGTAAATTGGGAACGATCGGATCATCTCATGGCTGGGTAGCTACTCTAAAGGATGGAAGAGTGCGTCTCCAAGACGATCTAAACCCGGCAGCATCGGATTCAGACCGGAAATGCATTTCCATGCCTCCTCTTGTGACTCGATCTGCCTTATTGCCAAACCCAGATCGTCACCAACGTGTCAATGTCGTCATCATCTCCTGAGGAAGAGGACTGTGTCGTGGCTATCAAGTTCATGGGACCGCAACTCAGCTTGTGCAGACCGGCTCAAAGCAACTCAGAGTGGACCAACATAAGGATCAGAAACCCATGCTTCTTCTCCTCCCCTGTCATGTTCTCCCAGAGAGAGGGCATGTTTGGCATACCCGGAGCTGGAGGCCACCTCATCGGATCATGGGATCTCGGTTAAGTCGTACAGGAAGACCAACACCTCCTACAGCTCGGGAGATATGCCCAAATTGATAACAGAAGCTGTAATGGTGTTCAAGATAGACGAACAAGGAAACGCTGTTTACACTGAGGACATTGGAGATCTCGTCATTTTCCTCTCCAAGGCTGAACCTTTCTGTGTCCCTACTAGTTCCTTTCCCGGCGTGGGCCGTAAGTCCCGTAACATTGTCGAAATCTTTGATGTCGATGAATCCGCAATTGTCAATCTGGCTAAAGGCACCATCTCTACTTTTAATTTTATATGCCCAGCCTCTTACTGGATTCCACCTCAAAAAATAGAGCTCTAGTAATTTGGAATTCTGATGCATGTCTAACTATGAATGCTTGAGTAAATTCCTTTCTATTTTTCTATGCTTGATATAAGTCAAATCTGTGTTCCTGATTTTTCTCTCCTTGTTTAGATGAACTATGGTAAACTTTTTAGTCTAGATTTCGTAGGACTTTCCTGTCAGGTAGAGAAGAGCAAGAGAGAAACAATGCGGGAAAGAGAACAAAATTTGGTAAATGTGCTAGTAGGTTGGATATTAAAATTTGAAAAATTATAACTTGTCTTTTGGTACTCTGAATTCTCAATGGCATGTGATTAGCTTTATAGCTTTTACATATTTTGCTTCCACAAAAAACTTTTTATACACGTAAACAAAAAGAACATAATGATTCCAAAACTTGCATGAACAAATCAGACAAAACAAGCTTGTTCTTGACTCACTATGTATAACATTATAGTATACGATGACAACAAGAAAGCACACAGCAGCTTGTAACAATGAGCTTACACATTGCTCTATAATATACGAATACTTCATATGAGAGAGTTGAAAACACATATATGAAAAAGCTCGAGGAAAACAAAAGCTTTGAAATCAGAAGGACAGAAAAAATACCGTCCTGAGGCACACACAGAATTGGGATTCTTTACGAGACAGATGCACTTACTTAAATGCAAGATGGTAGAGTAGGTCCGTGGCACAGAAAGGCCACGGCTATGTATATGATCACCAGTAGTATAAATATTAAGAGGAACCTGCAAGACGCAAACAGTGTTCGGTTTATGAAAAGTTCAGACTTGAGATGTTTTTCATAAAGCCACAAATTATCAAAGTCCGAAATTCCTATTTTTGTTTCAGTGTAAAAATTTATGCAAAAGATTAGTTTCTTGGGAGAGTTCTACTCCATATCTTTGATGCTTGACCTTACAAATACGGTTCTTGGGATGATTAAAGCACTTCACTAGCCACAATTTAACATGTTAAGGTTAAATGGTTTTAGGAAACATACGTGAGCTTGCAATTTCTCCACCACACGGTGTTTCTGAAACGTCGTYTTTGCTTTCTGAAGCGGATAGTATTCCCTTGCATATTGGCGGTTTTATCGACAAGAAGCTCAAGGCGTTCACCTCTATCTAGAACTTTGTCAATGTTCTCTATCATAACATCCCTCACCTGTCCAAAACCAAAAAGAGAAATAACCGTTCGTCAATTGTATAGCCAAGATTCAGAAGCAAGTCTTAACAACAATCCCATAATCAGAAATAAAGAGGAAGGAAATTCAAACCTGACTCATTTCACCCTTAATCCTATTAATCCTATCAGCATTAGGATCATTAGAGTAATACTCAATCTGCTGACTAAGAACTCTTGAGAATTCCTCGTTCATTGCATAAGCTTGTGCTGTATGAACTGCTCTGCCATAACTCCGTACGAATCTTTGATGAATATCCTCAAGAAAGGCAAAAGGAATTCTCCCTGTTTGCAAAAAGACGAAGAGATTCCCATATATAAACTCTTGTTTGCTACAAAGAAAATCGAATTGATTCGAATCCGGCATACATCAGGAAATCAAAATCTCGACTAAAGTTGCCCAAACTTCACACCAAAATGAAACGATTATAATTTCGGATTCTAGTGTGACCAAAGATCGAAAAATTAGCCATAGAACGAGCTCAAGATTTGAGGAAATAGTAATTTCAATAGATTACCAGAATCAAATCGAATTCAAAGGGGGAAAAAGTTAAATAAGAGAAGATGGAGAGGACGTACTTCCGGCGGTTTCTTCGGCCATACAGAGAACGGTGAGACCATCGGTGCGTTTAACGTGGAAGACGTAGCGATCCTGAGAATAGGAGACGTTACTGTCGTTGTTCCCAGGGACCTTCTCCAAGATCTGTTTCGCGATCGCGCTCGCGTTCGTAGACGTTGCGCTGAACTCCGCAAGCACCACCGTTCCACGCGCCACGAGTGCAAACAGGATCGTCATATCCTCCGATCACCGGCCGAATCGGTAAAAACAGAGACCGGATCGAATGGAGGAAGGTCAACGAAGAAGGTTTTCCCGCGGGAACCGAGCCAGCAAGACGAATCGCCCACAGGTCAATCAGAGAGAACCAATGGCTTTCACCTTTTTCTACATATAATTGAA